TTGTACATGCCAACTCTGTAATGTAAACCTCTTGAGTAAAGAGGAAACACACACTCTAAATAATATTGAAAGGAATATTTAAGAGCCCATGCAATTTTCTGACTCATTTGCATTGTAACTTTCATCAGATACTGGATATCATCAAAATTAAAGGAATACTTTATATCCTGTATTTCCATATGACTGTCCTCCAAATGAACCCTAATTCTTTTAAATCAGGGATGAGAAGAAGCCTGTATACAAATTTAATAAATAAATACACACACACACACACACACACACACACCCCAAAAGTATTTGGTCACAAAGTATTTTCTCACCCATCCTAAACACACCTCTGTTTGCTGTCTCATTTCCTGACTGCCTGCTTTCAATGGTGCTTGAACTCTGAGAGGTTCTAGCTAGGAACCCATCTCACTTCATAACAGCAACCAGTGTTTGATGACATCCTGCCTCTGGTGCCAGAAATAATGTAGCTATCAGAACTCTAAGCAACAGATAAACTTTTCAATTTTACCTTAAAACCTAACATTGTAAACATGTTAACATACTTAGATGTCCATAGACAATTTTCCCCACAAAGAAGGGTTTGTTGAAAACAAGAGTCTTTAGGAGGCATCTAAAATGCATTAATTTTGATATCTTTCAAATATGGGGGCAGAACATTTTAAAGTTAAGGGCCACCCCAAAGAAAACCTCTGTCAGTTACTGCTGGATGGTGGTCTACAATGTAGGTCTGCCACGCAGGGGTGGCCACTAGAAACAACGTTCCTTTTGGTGGTAGCACCCTAGCTGTGAAATGCTGTGCCTGTTCTGAAGAGGTACATGTGGCATTTTTTAAGGCATTTTGGTATCATGTAAAATCTTTTATTCTCTGAGGCTTTAAAATAGCACTACTCTTAGCCACTATATATTTTGTATATTTGTTTGGGGTTTACTTTTATTTTCTCTGCTAGGAATGTCTACTGTTCGAAATATTGCATGGTATTGATTGGACGGCCTTAAGCCCTATATTGTTTAACTATGATTAATTGAATGAACCAAAATCAATTGGGTATCTACAGCTTGCTAAGTTGTAAACCATGGTTTACAAACTAGAAAAGTGGATTCACACATATGAAGCTAACAACAAATAATCCACTTCATTGTTTATTGCAACCAATGTACTTTTTTTGGTCTTTTATTATTTTCCACTGTAAACCATCTGCAGAATAGTATTGCTGAATGACATTTATTCAGTCACGTATTACGTATGAATAATAAAAGTTTTGTTAAGCCTAATTCACGGAGATTGGTACTGCAGAAGTAAAACTGTTCTCTGGACTGTGTAGCTTTAACAGGATATTGAAATTTTCAAATTGGAAAAGAAAAGCTCTCCATAAAGGTAAACAAGCTGTTAAGAGAGATGAGTTTTAGTTTAACCATTTCCATAATATGATAGGTTCAACCCTACATTTATCCTGTCTACAGCTTGAACTCATATGATTCAAGAATAGATTTTTGTTCTATTGTTGTTTCTTAAAAAAAAAAAAAAAACTCTCTTTGGGTGAAGTAGTCTTTAGTGTTCTTGCTGAAATACACAAAACAGCCTATTTAGTTGATGCTTCTTCACCTATAAAATGGGTTTAATAACATTTAATTATACCCCACTCTGAGCTGTCACAATATTTAATTAGGTAATGTTTGTGGAGTAGTCTGATAATAAGATACACCATATAAATGTTAAGTATTATGATTGCAAAAGGTCACTGGAGAGAAGAATACACATGTCCTATTAAATAGACATAAATGAACCATATCCAAATTGAAGATACAACAGTTTCTGCACTTTCAGAACTAGGATTTGGCACAGATGTTTTGGGTATTGCAAATATATCCATAAATTCTCCCTGTCCTCATTCTTCTGTAGGTGAAAGAATGTAACTTTAAGACCTTTTCTGATGGATGAGTGTATCTTTACAAAGAAAAATAATCCATTCAGTAGTGTTACAGAATAAATATCATAGTGTGTCTTTCTAATACATTTTTGGGCATCTTCATTTTCCATTTCCTCTGCTTGGTATCCTAATCAGACACTTACATCCACAAAGATAGGCTAAATCAATCTGGGATGCAAGATCTGAGCCGCTATCAATCTGAGATGCCGCTTCAAGTTAATAATTTATATATTTGTTAGATTTCTATCCTGCCTTTTGTTCAAGAGTTCAATACACTGTACACATGGTTCCCTCTTCCTGAGTTTCCCCGCAAAACAACCCTATGAGATAGGTTCCCCATAAGAGAAACTGTGAGAGACACTGACTGGTCCAAAATTACCAACTGAACTTCCATAGCTGGGGGTGGACTAGAACTTGGATCTCCTTGCTTCTAGTCCAATGCCTTAGCCACCATACCACAATAGCTCTCTTATTCATCCAGACCCAGTTTGTGTTTTATTCACCTAAGCCGAATTTGTTTGGGCTCTTAACTTTTCATTAATTATCCTTTTTCAGTCAGGTCTATATTTTATTTTATTTATTAATCTTATATCCCACTAAGCTAGCTAAGAAAAATGATATAATAGAGTGATTTCCATTTCTATAGAATGAAAAGTCATATAATGGAATGATTTTAAAATGTCAGTAATAATTAGTTTAAAAATAGTTTATATTACATAAGGACTATTAAATTATGGCCCACTGTTCACAGAGGGTCTCCAGCATTCATCCAACCACCTTTCTGGGACTATTCATTTCCTTTGGAAAAATTATGCAGAAAATAGTTGTCTTATATTTTGAAGAACTAAGGATTTTAAGAACTAAAGATATAGTGGCTTGGAATGAACTTGGTTGATGCTCAAATGCTGCCTGAAAGTGCTACTGTGTGATGAAGAACAGAAGTTGGAATTACTTCAAAATGCCATTCTGATCATTAAAAGATGGACTTGATAGAGAAGGATGTCATTTCTAGCTAGAAGGCACTGCGCAAGATTCTTTCCTGTCCAGTGGAGAAAACCTCTTCTTTCAGTCGTATACAGAGTATGATTCTCTTGGTGAACTTCTGGGAATAAGCATACCTGGCTTCTCTCTTTTCCTGCTTACTCTGGAATGGCCTGTATTCCCCATAGGCTGCTTTTGAATGGCATATAACTCAACCCTGGAGAGTTACTTTGCTTAAGGAGCTCCCATATTTTGTATGCATAGACCAAATCCAATGGGTCCTGTCCTCAGGGTCCTGAGCTACCATGGTAGGCCTCAATAGAGTAGTCCACATTATTATTCTCCTCCCCCTGCCCCTGGTTCCATCCCATCGAGTGTTGCACAGTTCTCCTACCATTTTAATGATGGAAAGAAGGGAAATCTCATTACTATGTTCTCCTCATGACCTGGAGAACTTGAGTGCTGCCTTCTTAGCCCAAAAGAAGCCAGGACAATCCTAGAAATCAGAGGATTTCTGCTGCTGGTGTGACCTAGTGCCACACTTGGATCCACTTGGTGCATAGTCAGATGGGAGAGAGGGAAGAAGCTGAGTTGGTGCAACCGGCGCCTAATCCTTTGGAAGTTTGCTGCATGTGGAAATGTTTGCAACCAGTACTACTTGCCTGTGAGGCTTCTTTGCCTTCCAAGGACTGGACACACCACAGCATAGCAAATCTGTACACAATGCTTTATTGCACCACACATCTTCCCCAACAACAGGCTATTGCTCTGGGTCAACTCCACCCATCTAGGACTTACAGGTTGCTGTTGCCACCTAAATATGTCTTTAATACTCAGTCCTTTATATTCAAACAAAAGCCTCAAAGCCTATAAAGTAGCATAAAACCTTTACCTTTTCCCAAAAGTTCTTGGAGTAGTTGGGATGAGGTCCTGTCTCAATGTGGTTGTTCCTTTTCTAGTTGCCACCAAGTTCCCGGCAAAGCTTCAGGCAGGACTCCCACCAAGATATGCTGCTCACCATAGCTTGTGGTCCTGGCACTTGAATGATATCCTCTTGCCTGCTTGTAATAGCTGCCAATCTTCAGAGGTTGCCTCCATTTCCCCACCTGTATGCCTTTGCTTATCACCTTTCCTCCTACACACACATCTTTTCCCACTTGCTTTTCTAAGCTAAGAGCCTGGATGGGGTGAGGCTGCCTCTGGATGTCAGCACATCCTTGAAAGCGCCAAGGTGTGGCTCAATTATCACAGGCAGCTGGACACATCAGCTTGGATGCTTGTGAGTAAAGTTTGAATCAGGGAAATGAGGGAAATGGGGTGAGAAGTGTTTCTGCCTGGCTGCAGCTACTTTTCCCAAGCAGAGACAGCAACCCTAACTTCACTCCCTCACATTGTCACCTTCTCTTTGCCCCACTGCTTCTGGAAGCTCTCTGGTTCATGGATTGGCTAGGTCTTCAAAGCTTGGTGATTCCTCTGGCTCCAGGGTTCTCAGGCTTTGATCTTGGCTGCCACATGGTCTCTTAGCTGCAGGTTACCTTTGGTGTGCCGCTCAGCCAAGCTTGTGATTGCTTGTGATTTCCCTCTGTCTTGGCATGAGAATATTTGCAACTCTCATTGCCTCTTACTCTTATTTTCCATCCTATTTTATTTCAACTTTTTTGGTTCTGATCCCTCAGAAAAAGAAAAATGCCACTGCTTCTCCCCTGAAAACAAAGACAAAGTTAAAAACTGAAGGAAGAAGTAGGACCGGAAAAGTCTTAAGCCCTGCTTTGTAGCTAGAAGAGATGGTGTTAATCTATCTTTGATGATGGAGAAGCATTGTTCCCTGTGGTATCATACCCAATTTTTTTAAAAAAATGACAAAATGGTAAGTAGGACCCAAGCCACTACTTGGAACACCAATTTTGTTTTTCTGACTTCCATTTTTGAGTTACTTTTATTTTGTCTCAGCAGGCTTCTTTTTTAAAATCCAGAAAAACACCCTTTCTTCACACTATGCACATATTGATTTAATGATCCCACTAATCCATTATGTGTGCACAATGTAAGATTAATTTCCCATCCCTCTCGCTTGCCTTGCAGATCTGAAGCTCTCCCAACCATGTTTTTTCTTGGACTCCTGTTGCTTCTTGTTTTGCACAGCGAAGCCTTCAGCACCAGTTTTCCTGATGAAAGCATTGCAGAATTTTCAGTGAATGTTTACAATCAACTGAGAGCTACAGGAGAAGATGAAAATATTATTTTCTCCCCACTGGGAATAGCAGTAGCGATGGGGATGGTGGAGGTTGGTGCTCATGGTTCCACCCTGAAAGAAATTCAGCACTCCATGGGCTACGAAGGTTTGAAAAATGGTAACATGCTTTAATAATATTTTTCAACTCAGCTAAAAAGCAAGCCTGTGTTCTTAATGTTTATGATGCTTCCGTATAATTAAATCTCCTTAAACTCCATGTACTGTATCTGTCTGTCTGCCAGTCAAATCTTTAATGGGCAACTGCTCTGTTTTCTTCATATTTATTAAGAGGATTCTGAACAGGACTGATGATCTGTTGCTTTAAGTGAATCTTAATATTGCTAGAAATGTGATCTTCTGAATAGGAAGGTGAGACCCTAATATTAAAAGGGAAAATAACATTTCATTTAATGTATGTTCTGTGAAAATCTGTTGTTTGAATACGTTGCATCTGTTGGCACAAGCTGTTAACTTGGACACAGAACACCTCCTCCCCAGCAGATTGCAGACATCCTCACTCCACATCCATAAGCTGACCCTTGCTCACCTACATAGAAAGTCAGGCGCAATTTCTCCTTCTCCCTTGAAAACAGAGAAAAATGTTGGTCACATGATGTCCGGAGGCAGGACCAGAGAAGAGAGTGCAGGGAGAAAAACTGGGGTTCTGGATCTAGAAAAGGAAAAGAACTGACATAATTCTCTTGAGCATCTGATTGAAGGTTGGACTATATAAAGAACTGGAAAATTCCAGGGAATCAAGCTGAGGACTTTTGTTTCTGGAGTGTCTCTAAGCAAAAGCAAACAAATTTAGCAAGACAACTACATTAGAATTTTGATCATTTGTCCTACAGTCATATTCAGAAAATAGCATTCAGGAAAAAAAAAATAAGGAATGACAGTGTCATATGAAATTGTAAGCATTATTTTACGCACACGCACACTTTTACCCTTTAACCATCAGAAAAGGCAGCTCAGGTATGTCTCTGTTACATGCCAGGAATGGGGAGGAGACCAGTTCAGGAGTCAGAGTATAAAGATCCAGAGGGTTTTCATCGAGTGTAAACATCATTAGTATAACTTTTCAAGAAACCTTTAAAGGGGCTCAGTAGAAATCTTTAGAATAATAGAGCGAATTTTAAACAGCTGGAAGATCTGTGTAAATATTTATCACAAGTGGTTGGAAAGTTCCCATTAAAAGCTGGAAACATAAGGGCAGATAAAGTATGTTTATAAAAACTGTCGATTGTCGGATGAAGCATGCTGCTTCTATTAGCTAGTCAGTTCCTAGCCTTGTAGAGCAATATTTTGCCTGTATATTTTTGTAAAGGAGGAGGAAGAGAGAAGAAGGAAAAATATAGAAACAGGGATCACAGTGAGAAAATGTGGTAGCTGCCTTGTAATAATGTAAGAATACGCTAAATGTTAACTATATTTTTCCAGTAGATACCAATTTTATTATGTTTTGAAATTATTGCTTTATTTAAATAGATTAGAGAGTAGTGATGCGGAGGGGGGGACTGATTGTGAAAATTTTTAAAAAGCAATAAAAATAAAAGGTTTCAAAGGTTTTCTTTTTCCTCCTTAAGTCCCACCACCAGTCAAAATTAAGGCTCCACAGTGACTCTGGGCAGCTGACAATTAAAAAATTAAAAAGAAAAAAACATACATACACATATATATGATTCGCTCTAGCTTATATGGAGGTTTTTTTTTAAAAAGGACAAGGTAACTGGCCTTTCAGTAACTTGTAAGCGAGATGGTAATCTCAACAGCAGTTGAGTTGTTAAATCTCAACAGCAGTTATGTCCTATTATATTTCAGGCCTCTGGGGATGGCCAATGGGTAAAGCTCATCCCTTCCTATTTAATAAAGGATAGTATACACCAATTGAAAAGGATACTGTCCTGAGTCATTGAACTGGCCAGTATGAGAACATGATGGTGGTCTAGATAAAGCTTTGGACCCAGTGCATGAGTAATTGCACATTACATTCAGTGGGTTGCAGTGAGAATTTTAGTTGTATTTAGGATAGACTAAGCAAAACTTCTCTAAGCATAACCTGAAGCCAGTTTGTGTGCAGAACATCACTTTATAGAGACACATGCTACAGAGATAACTCACTCCTGTCCTGTGAGGAAAAGCAAGTACATCTGTCCTTTTATTTATACTCAGGTAGATGCTCTTCTTTCCTTAATGTACCTAACTTTGAATGTCCATCTCTTAAGAGCTGCAGGAATTAACTTGAAAGTCAAGAAGTATTTCTTTCATCTTTCCTGACAAGCAAGTAATTTGATGGCCGGGGGGATATGGGGTCACTCTTTTGCTCAATTTTGGGAAGTCAGAATCCAATTTGATCCCCCAAATCTTGATGTATGTACATTGAACATTGATTAAAGCTACACCATCGGGAGTGGGTCATATGCAACCCATGGAACTCCTTTATGCATCTCTGAAATGTGCAGTTTTTGGACATTTTAAGATAGGAAACAGATGAAAATGGTTTCATATTACAGTTATGTGATGTGGCCCCAATCACTTCTTGGCTATCAGCATCCCAAGGAAGTTACATGCTATCCTTGTTATGTGCTGACCCCTACCATAGTGTATTCCAAACTATATCCAGGATTGGACAAAGAAAGGAGTTGAGAGCACTGATTCTAGGAAAAAAACAAAACCTAAAATTGTCCTCCAAGGAAACTAAACACAAGCCAGCCTAAAGGTTTCCATGAATGCTTGCCTGCTGAAAATTACATGAATCTCAGTAGTGGTTTCCATCACCTGGTATTTGTATTGGAGGAAAGGGTGAATGAAGGACAAATTAAAAGAACTTTGGCAATGAGAAGGTGACACGGAACAGTAGATGTCACTATCATGTCTGCTTGAAAGCCAAAGATATGAACAACCAGGATGTTGGATCATGAGCTGTAACCTGGAGTGCCATTTCCAGATTAGGCAGGCTCCAGAATGTACCCAGTGTGGATGTAACTAAGCCTTAGAAAGTACAAGCTCACTTATTGGAGGAGAACTTGAGTCTTTGGTCTAGGGGAGTTTTAAGCATGGTATATTTATAGCAAGGGAATACATGTTTAGTTCTTTATACACTGTTGGATGGAAATCCTATCTCGGTTCACAACTGAGTGGTAGAAGCTGCATTCAAGGACATCAAAAGTTCCTGTTTGAAAGGAGGGAGGGAGAAAGGTCATGCTGCACTTAATGACCATTTCCTGGCAATACGACCAAAGAAGTCCATACTGAGGTAGAGTTTTGTATGCCCAGGAAAACCCTTTGGAGCTTCTGTGTCTCTTGTTACTTCTCATTTTTCTCAAAGAAGGGTTAAATTATGAAGTATTTCATAGTAACCTTCTTAACTGAAACATAAATGATCATTTATCCTTTTTCCCCAGGAAGACAGTGAGATATGTTAATCTCTCAATATATTTGCCAGTTCTCTCAAACCCATTTTAATCTTTCTCTAATTTCAGGTGAAGAATTTGCCTTCCTAAAAGACCTTTCTGACATGGCTACCACCGAGGACAGCCAGTATGTGATGAAGCTTGCCAATTCTCTTTATGTGCAAAGTGGATATCACATTAGCAATAAATTTTTGCAGCTGCTGAAAAAATATTTCAAAGCTGAAGTTGAAGTTGTGGATTTCAGTCAAAATGTAGCTGTTGCCAGCTACATCAACAAATGGGTGGAGAATCATACTAACAGTATGTTCCTAATTATTTTTCAATTCTTGATCTCAGTGGTTGTCATTGTTTGCTGCACATACCCAGAGGCACACAGTTAAATTCCAATTTTCAAAGATCCTTTTTATTTTATATGCTTTAATTTCATTTTGCTTTCTTTCCATATGATCAATCCATATAGTCAATGTTGAGGAACTTAAAATTGTTCATGGTAGAAATGTTCTACTGCAGTCAAACTTGTTTCACTTCATTAGAATTTATTCTGTTACACGCACACACACACACACACACACAGGATTACTCCAATAATAAAACATTTCAGTTTTGTAAGTTCAGGGTTTGGGACTCATTATGAAAGAACGCTGGAAGCCATTGGAAGATGAGCATAATCTCCAGGGCACTGACGGGTTCTCTTCCTGTAATGAAAGGAAGCAGCACCATGCTTGAAAAGGAAATCTGCCCATACACGCAATATGGATCCTGTGAAATCTGATCTAGTTATTTAATTCATTGCTGTCAATACAGAATTCCAAACTCAGAATTATTATACCAAAAAGCAAGGAAACCATTGCCCCTTGGAAACACCCGATCATAGACAATGCATTCTGATTGGAGTGATTTATTTCAGAATGTGTGCACCGCAGCTGCTACGCTTCGCTAACAAGCCTCTCAAGGCTTGAACAGATGCAAGATGTCTCTTCTCTTCCTTGAACAAATGTTGGCAGGTCAAATGCTAAGATGCATGCTCTGTTTATTACTAATTTACTAACCTTAAAGCAGTGTTGTCCAAACTTGGCCACTTTAAGATGAGTGGACTTCAACTCCCAGAATTCCCCAGCCAGTCCACTCATCTTAAAG